ACACACACACACACACACACACACACACACACACAGGTTCTCACATGATTGTAAATGTGTCACAACGCGGCAGAATCAGGCGCTCATCAATATTCGGGCATTTCGATTTCTTGGTGTCATCTGCATCTTAGAGCTTGTTCGATTGTCTTACTTTTGAAGAAAGGCTTGAGAGTCCGAAGAAACGATTTAATCAAAGTTTTTCTGTAAAAGCCATGCAGTAATGCTTCTTGAAATGGACACAAAAGGCGTTGAGCAAAAAGACACAAATAAGATAAAAATTGCCAAACGGGAAGAAACCCGCCTTTGTCTTCTATTTCATTAGTTTGACGAGCGCCTGACTTCACCACAATGCCTCAGAAATGTTCTCTTCCTGCACCTCACCTGGACACATCACACCTCACCTGGACACACCACACCTCACCTGGACACATCACACCTCACCTGGACACATTATATCTCACCTGGACACATCACACTTCACCTGGACACATCACACCTCACCTAGTCACATCACACCTCCCTTTCCACTAAGCCTCTCTTCCTCCACGGGAGATGTTCTCAAAGAGAACAGAACAACTTCAACTCAAATATTCCACTTTGTATATAGAACAATCTCATAGAAAATCTAAACTGTGTATGTCATTCCCTAAGATCAGTAGACTGGTACCAAAAAGCTTACAAGTGGTCCGAGATAGAAACACAGAACTACGCCACCAGCACCGCGACCGCTTCATTTCATCAGTCCAGGTTGTCACAGCACAGGTCAAATCTTACAGCCTTTCCCTGACTCCCACACAGCACAGGTCAAATCTTACAGCCTTTCCCTGACTCCCACACAGCACAGGTCAAATCTTACAGCCTTTCCCTGACCCACTGACTCCCACACAGCACAGGTCAAATCTTACAGCCTTTCCCTGACCCACTGACCCCCACACAGCACAGGTCAAATCTTACAACCTTCATCCACACACCCTCTTGCCCACACATCCCCACACCCTCTGACCCACACACCCATACACCCTCTGACCCACACACCCATACACCCTCTGACCCACACATCCCCTGACCCACACACCCCTTGACCCACACACCCCCTGACCCACACACACCCACACACCCCCTGACCCACACACACCCACACACCCCCTGACCCACACACAACATGCACAAATCTTGTTGGGGGTCCAAAAGCTGAAGCCATCCAGGAAATGTTCACCGTTGTCTGATTGTTGGCTTTGTTCTAGGAGGGGAGCCCACCAGGTAGGAGCCCACCAGGTAGGAGCCCACAAGGTAGGAGCTAGGAGCCCCCGGAGCCATTGGTGGCCGCCATGTTTCCGTTGCTGGTGTGGACCGGCCCCTCGTCAGACCGCTCCCCGACCGACCGCCCCCCGCTGGGCCCCCGCTGGGACATCTGCCACGGAGCGCCATCAATACAACGGCCATTCCCAACACTCCCCCCCCCATGTCCCTTACACTTGTCCTTCTCTCCTTGCTTTTCCTCTTTCTTGTTCCGTCCGTCCTGGCCCAGGCACCTCCGGACGGAGAAGTGGAAGAAGTAGACGACGAAGGAGTTGGCCACCAGCACACATCCCAGCATGCCCCAGGTCTCAAAGAGCGTGGGGGCGGCCATGTTGTGCACGATGCTGATGCCGTCGGTGAGCTCGAGGTAGAGAGCGTTGAGCTGCTCGTAGGTCGTCATCATGATGCACACATGGAACAGCTGATGGCTGTGGCCGACCAGGTCGAACGTTCCCGCTGCGGCCAGGGGAGACAACAACAGGGGTGGGTGTCAGGACACAGAAGCACAGCGACACAATGGCCAACATCTAGAGCATGCAAACAGGAAGTCAGACAAACACAAACAATAGAGGAAAAGAAAACAAGAAGAACCACCAGAAGCACCCTCCAGCCACCCACCAAAGATCAGAATTACACAACATGAGATGAGATAGGATCAGCCCAGACCAGATGACATCAATCAGGCGAGGAAGGACAAGTGGAGACAAAACCCTCATTAGAGAAGACGAGATGAAATGAGACATGACCCACCTCGGAGGGAACAACTTCTAGCTGTAACCAGATGAAATCAGATCAGGACAAGGCCCCGTATGATAATAATAATTATAATAATAATAATAATAATAATAATAATAATAATAATAATACTTGGGATGTCCAGAAAGTAAGTATCGTTTTAAAATAATTATAAAAGAAATAATTTCAAAATCAAAACCATATATTTTTGAAAAGCTCATAAACACGACTACTTCTCCACATAGTCACCAGAACTGTTGAGGCATTTGTCGTAGCGTGGGACGAGCTTCTGAATGCCCTCATCGTAGAAAGCTGCCGCCTGCGATGTCAGCCAATGTCCAGTCTCTCCTGTGAGATCAGCGTCCGAGTTGAAGTCCTGCTCGGCCAAAAACTTTTTCAAAAGCAGGAACAGACGAAAGTCACGGGGAGCCAGGTGTGGGCTGTACGAGGGAAGCTGAGAATGTTTCGGAGTGTACTTTGGTCTGCTGGGGTAATAATATAGTGTAAAGCGCATAGAGCCTGCTGTTGAGCGGGGATATGCGCTATACAAATGCTAACTATTATTATTATTATTATTACGATGGGTGCTTCAACTGTTCCCATCCCAAGGAGGCCATCAGGTGTAGGGTCCGTGCAGACTTGGGAGGAGTTGCATTGTTGTGAAGCAGAACAACGCCGTCGCTAAGCATTCCGCGTCTTTTGGTTTGAATCGCTCTACGCAGTTTTGTAAGTGTGTTGCAGTACACATCAGAGTCAATTGTCCTCCCATTTCCCCAAAATTCTACTAAAAGAACTCCTTTCCAGTCCCAAAACACTACATGACTTTTTTTCCTGACACGGCCTGCTTGGACTTTTTTGGCTGGGGCAAATCCGTATCTAGAGTTGTACAACCAGGTCTCATCCCCATCACAATAGGAGTAACCAGGTCTCATCCCCATCACAATAGGAGTAACCAGGTCTCATCCCCATCACAATAGGAGTAACCAGGTCTCATCCCCATCACAATAGGAGTAACCAGGTCTCATCTCCATCACAATAGGAGTAACCAGGTCTCATCCCCCATCACAATAAGAGTAACCAGGTCTCATCCCAGTCACAATAGGAGTAAGAAAGTCATCTCTTTCATCATTGTCACGTGTCAGGAATGCCAATGCGCTGGCAGCCCGTTGATCCTTATATTAATGGTCACTCTTTCACTGTCAGTATAATGGTCACTCTTTCACTGTCAGCATAATGGTCACTCTTTCACTGTCAGTATAATGGTCACTCTTTCACTGTCAGCATAATGTTCAATCTTAAAAGACATGTTGAAGCTTCAAAAGGGTGCATGATGTTGGAAGCAAAATGTGGCTGTGTGAACTGTTGGAGGAGCAAACTGTGTGAGAAGTTTTACAAGCGTTGTAGATTGTTGTTACAACAGCAAGATGGAAGCTGAGGGCTCTTTCCACATCAGTATTGAACACATCAACTCTCTGTGGTGCAAAATCGGGAATATCCTAATCCAGTGCAGAGAGATGTGAAAACAGAACATACTTTCTGGACGTCCCTCGTAAAAATAAAAATAATAAAAATAATAAAATATGTGCCACAAAGTGGTGAAATCAGGCGCTCATCAATTTTTGGGCATATGAGATTATTGGTATTATCTTAAAGCCTGTTCCTTCGTCTTCCTTGTGGGGAAAGAAATATCCATCTATGTCGAATCCAAGTCGAAATATTTGCCATTGAAGGAGGTCAGGGTCGCCTGGTTTAAGAAGTTAAAAAATTAGCCAGGAAATGGCTGCCAAAGTTTGGTTACTTCCGCAGCCTGCGAGTCTTTGGAAACTGAAAATTTACATTTTTGGGCATTTAATCAATGTTTTTTAGTAAAATCCACACAAAATTGTGTTTTTAAATTAACGTAAAAGGTGTTGAGTCAAAAACAGCAAAATAGAAGAAAAAAAAAAGCGGAATTCTTTGATTTCATTATCTTTATTTTGATATTATTTCAGACGGCGATAAAAAAGATCTTTGTGATATACCAATGTCTACAACTCACCTGGGAAAAGCCTTTATGATATACCAATGTCTACAACTCACCTAGGAAAAGTCTTTATGATATACCAATGTCTACAACTCACCTGGGAAAAGTCTTTATGATATACCAATGTCTACAACTCACCTGCGAAAAGTCTTTGCGGTATATCTGAGCCGAAGAAAAATCCGCCGGTGGTGAACCAAAGCATTTGTTTGAGGTGGTGGGTGAAGCTCGACTCCCACTTCCCGTCATGAACATACAGCCAGATCCTGTACCTGAACACACACAGCAGAACTACTGGTTACACACATACACACACACACACACACACACACACACACATACACACACACATACACACATACAGCCAGATCCTGTACCTGAACACACACAGCAGAACTACTGGTTACACACATACACACACACACACACACATACACACACACACTCACACACACACACACACACACACACACATACAGCCATATCCTGTACCTGATCACAGACAGCAGAACTACTGGTTACACACATACACACACACACACACACACACACACACACATACACACACACATACACACATACAGCCAGATCCTGTACCTGAACACACACAGCAGAACTACTGGTTACACACATACACACACACACACACACATACACACACACACTCACACACACACACACACACACACACACATACAGCCATATCCTGTACCTGATCACAGACAGCAGAACTACTGGTTACACACATACACACACACACACACATATACACACACACATATACACACACACACACACATACACACA